AAGAATCAGGTGTCTACAGCTGTGTGAAAGCATACACATTCTTTCATGGCATCCCTGTCACGAAAGGAGTTCATTGCTTTGACTGAAATTTCAGGAAAGTGCACAACCGGCAACATCTGATTGTAACAGGGCACCCTTGGTCAGGTTTCAGGAACCTCATTGACGTCATTTTCCCTGACTTGGCTTGGTGCTGGATAACTAATTGCAAGGATAGTGGTTCAAACCCACCAGTTGCCCCTCAGAAGCCCTATACGGGGTTGCTGTGAGTCGGAAGTGACTAAACAGCACTTAACAATAACAGCTTTGGTAAGCTGCTAGATTGCGAACTCTGATGCGTTATCCCAGAACCTCTTACTGACGGCTGGCCCCATCTGACAGGAGCCCAGTGGGAGACGCTGGCTTCACCCCCTTGACTTTGAACACAGCATACTCCCCAGCCACTTTTCCCAGCCTGATGCTGAGTGGATTTATATTCCTGAGACTGTATCCCTAAAACTACCCTGCACGGCCCCCTCTGCCCTAGTGCAGGAAAGGTGCTCCCTGTGGAGGGAATGTGGGTGAGCTGAGGGTCCACAAGCAGAGATGTGAGTGGAGGTTGGGCATCTGGGGGTGGGTGGATGAGGAGCCCAGGAAGCTAGGTGACAGGTAAGCCATGGAAAGCTGGAGTGGAAGGAGTGGAGGGCAGGGTGGGCAGTCAGTGCGTGGTTGCCGGCCTAGAGGGAGGAATGCTACTTGTGGGGCTGGCTCTGTCTTCCTCAGGGGCTGGGTTCTAAAGTGGACATGGGAGTATATGGCATCTACAGTCAGAATTTCCTGTGAAAATCTGTCAAAGGCTCTGGAGTACAGAATACGTGGTTTTACCATGTAACCCACATAGTAGAGTTGCTGTTTCATTGTTAGAGTCATGCACATTATGGAAAAGGAGTTCCTGATGGCACAGATGTTTAAGTGCTCAATTGCTAGCTGAAAGATTGGCGGTTCAAACCCATCTTAGAGGCACCTTTGAAGACAAGTCTGGTGATCTGTTTCCAAAAGGGCTCAGCCCTGAAATCATCCTGCGGAGCCGTTCTCCTCTGCACCCATGGGGTCAGCATGAGTCGGAATCAACTCAATGGTAAGTAACTATGGCACGCTGTAGAAAAGAGCAAAACGTTCCAAGCTGTACTTTCATGCCAGGGCAAGTCAAAAAGTATTGCTCCTAGGGTTCTAGTTCATACATGCTCAAGTTATCCGAAGCAAAATGTGTTTCAACATGGCTCTATGATGAGTGGAGGGCTTCAGACAAGACCTCTTATTTAGCCTCCTTAGGGTTCCTTCAAAAAAACAAAGGTCAAGTCAAAACAGTGGTTTCCAAGGTAAATTCAAGGCAGAGAAGGTTTTGGTGACTGAGTTTGGGAGTCCCAGAGTGGTGCTAATCTTAGGATCGAGGTCAGTCGTGGAGACTTATAAAAACAGTTGTAAGAATATTGAGAACTGCATCGGTGAGGAAAAG